ATTTGTACACATGAATTAATTACTAAAATAAATACCTGGCAAGATACGCCAAAGTTATAAAAAAAAAAAAAAAAAAATACTATAATTCATTTACTCAATTAAATTCATTATGTGAGCCGAACAGGTATTATGTTTTAACTGTAACATTATAGAACTTAAAGCTTCACGAAAACATTTTTACATGTAAGCGGCAGAATCTGAAACAATTACTTTAGGCGTATACAGTGTTTATTTTTCACCCGCACCTATGCAGATTCAATTTGATTAGGATCCGCACAGTGCATACTGTGAAAAATAAACACTGCGCGTGTTTATTTCAAGTATATAAGAAGGTTCACTTTTCACTTTTTATTTTTCTTTACCATATTTTGATACTACACTTTTCCCTTATCTTTTTCTTTAATATTTTCTATTCGTCTTTTTTTTTTCTTTGATACTATACTTTTTTAATATACATTACCCACTTTTATGGTTATAAACATAAAGTTTATGATATTTTGAATGTACTTAACGTTCTTTGAGAATATTCCAGATAACGTTAATAATATTATAATACTTTCTGTTTGTTTATTTCCTCCTTTTAGTTTCCTTCGTTTTATTTCCTTCTTTTTTTTCTCGTGTTCCTTTTGAGCGGGTCACGTTTTGGCAACGTGAACTTTAAAGAATAAAACTGACAAGCGGCAGGGGTTATTTAATTAGTTCTTGCTCGAAGAACTGACGTTTGATAAAATTCCCAGCTCACTTGAGTTTTCGTGAGTTCTTTGTCAAAATATTTTTTTTTTCTCGTGTTCCTTTCGAGCAGGTCACGCCTTCAACAACGTGAACTTTAAAGCCAAAACCGACAAGCGGCAGGGGTTATCTAATCAGTTTTTGCTCGAGAAGCTGAGGTTTGATAGAATTCCCAGCTCACTTGGGTTTTCACGAGTTCTTTGTCGAGACATTTCCCTAGTCATAGGATACACCTCTACGTGGTGACTAGGACAAGTAAGCTACTTTAGCCGAAACTAAGTATTCTTTAGCACAAAAAAGATTATATTGATCATGGTTGTAAAAAATTATATAGTCGAAACTAAAAAGAGTTATATACAGTAGTTATATAGTATAATATAGAAAAACTATGTATATGTATATTTTTAATTCAAAGTATATATAATAAATAAAGATTTTTTATTGAAATAATCTATTAATAACTTCGATAATTGTTTGTGGAAATAGTATAAAAATATAAAAGTGAAGTTATAAAATATGAATAAATAAATAACCGATCATAGTTCACTTATTATAACCAAATCGATGAGTTTTTTTTTAATGTAAATCCGATATCGATAACCAACTCAAAATTTAATATAAATAGTTTTTCATTTATCACTGTGCAATATATAAATAAGTAAAAATATCTAAAGCTTAGCGAACAAACTTGATGGTACATCAACTTCAAAACATAATAACATTTGAGCATAAGCTTTTCCTTGTTTATCGATATTTAAAAAGCTTAAACCTCCCCCACCTAATATATTTGATCAAATAAGTATAAAATAATGTAAATAAAATTACAATAAAAAATAATAATAAACAACATTTATAGTAACATTCATAATATTTACCTAGACATCTAGTCAACACAAAAATTAAATCCATTACAACCAGGTAATTCGTATCTCTTAACTATACCTCTACATAAATGGATCATATAATCTTTGACAGCCTATTATGAAAATATATTATGAATCAAATAATACTTATAAATGTGTGATTAATGAAAATAAATTCATGAATAAATTACCTCTTCGGTCAATGAATTTTTCAAAAATGGATAATAATTTGGTTCGCGTGCCAAGTTTCTTATAAAAAAAATTAATAATTATAACTTAAAAAATCATAAATTATAACAATTATAACATAAAACGTGTATATATTTATATAAAATTCACTTACCAATATTACAAGTATCACCTTTGTCTCCACTTCTTCCTCACGCTAATCTTATTAAAGGTACTTTAGTCATAAGTCCATTATCGATTTTGTAATCAATTTCATTTGGGATTTCTGGTAACGGCGGTGGTACTATATTGTCATTATGAGTAGGTCCATCAATTTTTTGATATCAAACGTGCAAAGTGTACAAGACATGGTGATGGATGAGGACGTCCTGCCCCGCCTCCTTTATGAAAGGAAATAAAATAATAGGTCAAGGTATATAAAGTTCATCATATATGGATCCGAAAAATTACCAGTAATTCCTGGAGCCATGCTTGTAGCCGACCATATAATAATTTCAAGATTAAATGACCCATTACATTCTATTAAACATAAAATGAATGAAAATTGATTTGTGCTTACGGGAGAAAGCTCCAACCCAAAATACTTTAAAGCATCTAATTTATCATGATAAATATACAACTTCGCGGGTATTACGAGTTTTGGCATGGCCTCTATCGTATATATAATAATTATTAGCATAATTAAATTGCTGTTCCGAAAAAAAAATATATAGATATATTTCTTACATATTCTTACCACGTACCCATAGCTCCCAATACTACGATGTTAACATCTCAATAATCACCAGTTTTTTTTTTTCTAAGAAATATACGCGTCTTCATGAGGATAGCATTTGCAACAACTACTGCATAAAACAATATTAAGAATTTGAAAAATAATATCAGAATGAGAGTACCAACCAACAATAAGTCTTATACCTTATTCCACGCATCAATGCCACCAATAATTATTTGTCCAGTCATTTTATATCCATCTAAATAAACTCTTGAAACTTTCAAATTCTGTTGGTGCTCGACCTTTTGTACCAGTAAGCAAAACCTTATTTGCTTCAATTTTACATTTCTAAAATCCAAATTTACATCTGGCAAAATATATGCACCGGGATCTAATATTTCATACAACATTTGTTCACCAGTATTCTTGGGTTTAGTAACAAAAAATTCACCATTCTTGAAACATTCAATAATTGGATATCCCATATTATACCATCCACCACCAGGTGAATAAGCACTTTTCCTCCAATCTGTAAAATTACCACCAGTTGCTTGATACTCACATTCTACAATATGCCCAGCTAATGAACCAGAAGCTAATAAATCCCAATCATCATGAGGATCCCACTTAAATTCATAAATTAGTGGGCCTAGTACTAACGCGCTATCCATACAGCGTCCAGTCACTACAATATTAGCACCTGGTTTTAATGCTTTAACAATTGGAATGGTACCAAAGTATGCATTAAATGAATAACTTTTTTATAGTCAAGTGAAAACGAATCAGAACCTTCGGAATCTCCTTGAATATATGTAAAGTTAAGTATTTCACATTTACTTTGTCTATAATATCATCACCAGTAACCGCGGCAACAATTACTTTGCCTTCTTCGATATTAAGATCTTTAACTAAATCTTCAATTGCTAATTTACATGATAAAGGGTCTAAACCTCCAGCATTGGTGACTACCTTAATGTTATATTTGATGGTAAAGGTCAGAGAACGTAGGTGAGAAATTCGGAAATATAACCACCTTTGCTTGCTTGCACCCTTTAAACTTTTACGATCTTGATTACGGCTACGTGCAAGTAAGCCTATTGTAACTTCTAAAATGTATTTCTGAGAATTTAGTTTTAATAGTCAAAGTGTAAAAAAGAATAATTTACAGTATAGTATTATATTAGAACCTTTGTGAATACTTGCTTACCAGAAAGATAATCACCAACCAAGTAATTTAACGCGTCTTCTTCCGTTTTAACTAGTTGTTCTGCTGCAGTAACAGAATCTCCCCAAAATGCGCTAATAAGAGTGGTTTATTATTTTTTTTAAAGAAAAAGACAAATAGTCCGGATAATTGTACAGTACCAACTAATGATAACGCTACAGAAATACTTATAACAACCAATACGAACGGGTGCATCGATATTTGAAAAAATCATAGTTATATGAGGTGTGAGATAATCAATAAACAATTTTTTAGTGCCTGCAAGTTTTCCGAAATTCGAAAAGGTAATACAGTATATGAATTTCGAATCCCTGAACCTAGTGATACAATCGAAATCGTAATTGGTTAGTTGACAACTAATTGACTGAACTTTTTAGATACCAACTAATCGATTAATCGACTAATCGATTAGTTACAACTAATCGACTAAAGAATTAACAAAAAATCGATTGAAATTTATTTAATGAATTAGTTGCAACTAATCGATTAATCACCAATTGCAACTATCAATTACTAATCGATTAATCGAAGTTACAACTAATCGATTAGTTATAACCAACTAATCGATTGAAAAAATTACAGGATTCTTCCTGTTCATTAGTGCTTTTGTTTTGCACCATGTTTGTATTATGAAATTGTTTTTAAAGCCTTAAATTTTTTATTTTTATTAGAAATTTGCGATTGCAATAAATTACGTACATAGTTCATTTAATTTTAAAGAATTACGCTAAATTACGACATTACTTATGCAGCTAGGGATGTGTTACCTGTTACATAAATTACAATTTTACATTACCGGTAATTTTACGTAAATTTCAGAAAATGTAATTTTCATACGTCATAAGGTAGATATGCCTAATTTGGCGCGGTGCCTAATTCGGCGCACTAACAACTGTCGATCAGAATCATGTGATTTTGGTACCATTCGATTCGCGAAATCTATGGACAGTTCTTAGGGACAGTGTGGACAGTGCATGATCACATGATACTTTAGGGACAGTGTTATTATATGACTTGGTACGACGTAACTTTATGCGAACAAAATGAAAAAAATTTATTATCGATCAATACATCTATTTTCTAAATTTAAGTATTGCATTTAATAGATCTCGCTTAAATCTATGCACTATTATTTACTTTCTGTGTCTGTTTTATTAGTTGAACCACTTACTAAGAGAAATTGAGCAATACGATCTTGGATTAATAACTTCCATCATGCTGCAGCTAAAGTGGGGAATTGTGTCCACCAATTAACAATTGGAGGAACAGGTGCACCAGGTTTCAATACCATGGCTACATAATGATTTTGATTAATGTAAGTGATTGCAAGTGCTTCATTTCGGTTTAGTGGATGGTGATATGGAAGAAAGGTAAGGCTGATTTGTAGTGAGAAGAAGTATAACGGTCTTTTGTAAGCATTTGCTATAACATCACCCATTTGTGGCATTTTCATCCAATGATCGAACGTGCAAGGGCTGCTCTCCCAAGAAATTTCTTTTAAAATCATATCATAATCATCATTTGCAAGAAACAATGATCAGTAAAAAGGCCCATTTTTATTTAATTCTTCAAACAATTTCTTTCTTATATTTGGCCATTCATTTTCATTTCTTTCTAAACCCACGGCCACTGCTCTGTACTTACAATTTCCATCTCCATCTATATTAACCACTTTTTTTATATATTCATGTATAAAAATAGGTATCTGATCGTAAAATAAGGGTTGTTGTGACTGTTGTAGAACTTCTACAAGTTTTGTCTCTGGTTTTTTTGTATTTTTTTTCTTTTTTTCTTTTTTTGATTTTTCTTTGGCTGCTTTTTCTTGATGTTCGCTAAGAAGAGGGTTTCGCTTAGTAGATTGTGGATGTCTTTTAGGCAAAGTAGACACATTATGTAATGGTGCCTTTGGGACTGGAATTTCTTCAGTGACTAGTGCTTCAAGCTTATGCAAGAACGTGGCTTTTGACCCACTATCATTGAGATGTTTATATTTTTCTTCGAGCTTGTAAAGAACTTTACTAATAGTCATGTCAATTGACAATGATAATGGTATCGAAGGTACTGAATCATGTTTTAGATGCCAGCGTTTATGTACGAGGGTAAGTAGAACAGGTCCTGTTGGTGGAATAATGTGATGACATGGTAATTTATAATTCAATCTCAAGCTACAATTACAAGGGCTATTATTCATATTCTTATTCTCATCAATTTCACATACTTCTTTTTTGATTCTATCAATCGCCTATCTAGAAATTTTTTCAAGCAATAATTTAAACCTTTTGTCATTACGTATAAATAGATTAGCAGAAACAATGTTCGAGCCTAGGGCTCCATTCGTTTGTAGTTGGTGTTGATGAAAGGCATGATCAATATGTAAAAATACTTGCTCCAAACCACTTGACGCTTCTATTGCCTTTTTTAGAGCGCTGTGACTTCTTTCTGCTCTCTGTGTCGACTAGGTTCCCATATGTGGATAATTCTTTGTAAAAACATGCATCCAACACTCTGCATCTTTTTTCCATTCTTCAAGATAATTTTGAATATATTCAGGGTCCCTAATTTTCATTGTCGCTTGACTAACTTCTTTAAATGCTTTTTCAACTTTATTCGTTTCTTCAGCATGGGCAACTTTCTGGACCACCAACAGGAGTTCATTATACTCTTCATCTGAATCAAAAAATTTTTTACATGTGGTTCATAAGTTTTGCACAAGTATATGCCAAATGCATATCATTTTTTTTGCCTCTGGAAAAACCTTGTCTGCTGCTTTTCTAAGGGCCAAAGCCCTGTCTAAACCAAATACTTCTGGGGAACAAAAAAAAATGTCATAAATTGTCTCTTAAAAACTATTCGTATGTGGGTTCTTGCTTATTTGCTACCCATGCTATTGCTATTTGATACATGCTAAGAGCTTTAGCATTACCGATATTACTTATACCAACTGCATTGATGAGAGGTAACTTATATAAGTTCGTTTTATATATTGTATCGATTATAAGCACCTCTGGACATATAGCTACTTGACGTGCAGCTTCAATATGTGTGAAAAATAAGTTTAACATATGGCCATCTTTTGTTAATAGATGACAAAGTATATATTGACGTTTCTCTAACATTTTTATAAGGCGCATTGTAGTGTCATAATTTGTGCCCTCATTTAGAGCATTTTTTATTCGGTCACATTCATTAATTATATCTTTTGTATATACAGTACTTTGTTTCCAGTATATCGCATCAGCAATTGATCGAGTTGATGCCCCACTTTTAAGCATTATATGAACCAACTCTTTTTGCTCTGTATTGAGGTGCCGATGTTGGGGAAGACAATGGATTTGAGATGGAATAAGTAGTTCATGATTATGCACACTTTTGGAAGACGTTACTACCCAAGTTCTAGTGTTTTCATTTAAAGCAGCTCGTAAAACAACAGGACAATTTTGACGCTTTGAGAGTTTTTTTCTTTTTCGGGTCTCTTCATTAATTTTATGGTTATTTCTGTAGGTACCTCCTATTGTACATTGCAAAGTTATGAAAGGGGTGTGGCCACCTTTTCCACCACCTGATATTTTTGATGATGAAACGCTAAAGGCAAAACCCGCTGCCTTAGCACCTTGTTGTGCCACTTCCTTGAAGTTTTCTGCTGTTAAAAACTCATCGCCAACTTCCAGAATTTGTGGTTGTGATTGCGACATGATGAAATGATGAGTTTTATTTATTTTTTTATAATAATTATTTTATATAAAGGAATTAAACAGTTGTATTTTACTTAGCACGAAGTAGTTTATTCAAACACAATATTACTAGTGGCGATTTGATTTTTTTATTTATAATTTTTACGAATTCTATTCTTTTATACAATTGATTTTTTTTTTATAGCTAGGCACTATTGAATATAAAACCTTGGGAATATTCATAAGCAAACTAGTAGGTTTTAATATGTCCTTTATTTATAAAACCAAACTAACTACTTTCCTTAATTTCTTCTACAGTCTAATAATAAACACAATTAACAGATTTTGCAACTATATTATAATTAATCACTTTTTGGTAATGTTAGTTTTAATGTATGTATTGGTAATACTGCAGGGTTCAAAATTACAAGAATGATATTCAGTTTCTGAATGCTGATCATGATTCTTGAATCATTTAATTTTTCCATTCTAAGTTAATATCTTTATCGTTAAAATCAATCTGTGTAATTAATATTTAAAACTTGGTGTATATCTTATTCAAAAATAAATTACCATGATTCATAATCAGATATTTTATTACATTTTTTATATCGGATCTTTATATTATATTAAATATATAAATCATATGAAAACATATAATCTATATCTTTCGAAATGTCACGTGATCTCGCACTGTCTCTAAGAACTGTCCATAGATTTCGCGCATTCGATTCGCCTCATCGAGACAAATCGAATGGTACCAAAATCACATGATTCTGATTAATAGTTCGTAAGATATTATCATTTAACCAATATAAGGTAGATAAGTCTAATTGGCACAGTATCTAATTTGGTGCACTAACAATATCATATGAACTGTTGATCGGAATCATGTGATTTTGGTACCATTTGATTCGTCTTATTGAGACAAATCGAATGGTACCAAAATCATACGATTCTAACTGATAGTTCACAAAATATTATATTAGAAATCTTTAATGCGCCGAATTAGGCACCATGCTAAAATAAGACTGTGTTTTTAGATAAACTTTTAAAGAGTGATATCTTGTGATTGAATAATCGAAATTAGGTGATTTTGGCGCCATTCGATTCGTCTCAATGTGACAAATCGAATGGTACCAAAATCATCTAATTCTGATCGACATGACACGTGATATGCATCGTAGAACTTAACTGCGCCAAATTAGGCATATCTACATTACATAAAGTACCAGATTTACAAAACGTTTGGCCAGCATGAAAATTTGATATCAGAAATATTACAATTACATGAAAATCCAATTTACCGAAACTTATGCAAAATACATAAATTACGTAAAATTACCGTAATTTCACAACCCTATATGCAGTTTACAAAATTTATCAAACTTTATTATACATTAATAATTAACTCGAGTTGAATTATTCGAGTCACGAGTTGACGACTAGTTCACGGGACCCGAGTTCTTGATTTTCATTTGTTTTTTTCGCCGGACGTTGAATAGACCTCACTAACGCTTCGGACAATTAGTAAAAATGATGAAAATTCATATCTCTCCCTCTACATGCAGTGATCTTTTATATGTTTTAATTAATCGTGATTTCCTAGTAATCCTATAATATATTACCGGTAATGATTACGGCTCAGTACAATGAAACCTCTATAAGTGCACTCTCTATAAGTGCACACCCCCTAAATGTACATACGCAGATTCTGGCCCAAATATATATATAACCTCCATAAATGCACTTTTTCTTATTGTTCTCTAAGTGCATGTCGTTAAATTCTGGTCCTGACTTAGAGAGCCTAAATTCGACAACAGATCGAAACCAATCACAAAATATTACACGAGCCACATACAACACCTCTTTCTATCACAAAACACGAAAAAAAATTTTTTCTGCCTCACCTCTCTGCTGATATATCTTATTATATTTAAATTTTGATAAATTTCTAAAAAAGTTCAAACACATGTTAAAAAAACAGAAATTTTCAGCAAAAGTTTAACAAGTACGTATCATTATTTGTAATTATACGTGCAGAAATAGTTATACTTTATATGTATTAATTATTTTTAGTTTATATAGTTTACTAAAGTGTAGACCAAGCCTTCTCTAGCACAGAAACAAAGCTTTCTTTAGCAACCAAAATGAAACTTCGTTTGTCTACAAAATAAAGCTCAAGATTCTATTATTCAAGCTTCTTCGACAAGCTTCTTCAAGCCACCAGGTAATAAAATCTTGTGTTTAAAAACGGTTCTTTATATGCAATATTTATATTTATTTTATTCTCATTGTTATAGAGAGTTAATGTTATTAATATTTTTTCATGCTTTATTTTTTTTTTTAAAAGATGATCGCTCAAACTTCTACAAATATAAATAATGCTAACGAAGTGGAAAGGTCTGAACATGTTTCAGCCATCCTACGCGGTATTATTTCAACTTTTGACGAGGATCTAAAAATACACAAAATATTAAAGACGATTCGACTTTACCATTAAGCAAGATGAGATTATTCTCTGTGTTATTGAGGCTAAATCAATGGCAATTGAATATGGTTTTTGCCAAAATTTGGCTCAGATATAGTGTGCTTGTGAGGTAAGTATTTGACAATTGAATATATTCAAATTAAACCTATAAAAATTTAAGTTTTACTGCATATGACTCTGAATAATTAATATTATATCTAAGAGGTGTGGCGACTTAGTGAAGTGGTTTAGTTGTCACCCTCACCAAACGTTATGGGAAGATCCCATGTTCGAATCCCAGGGACGGCGCTTTTGTAATATGGGAA